TTAAATATTAAAAAAAAAGAGGGCCAGAATTCAGTTCCCAGCACCCACATCAGTAGGCTCACAGCTACCTATAACTCCAGCTGCAGGGCATCCAACACTTTCTGGCCTCTACCAGACCTGCACTCATGTGCATATACCGACACACAGACACACACGCATATACATAATTATCTTTTTTAAATCTTAAGAACAGAAGCCAAGCGTGGTGGTGCATGCCTTTAATCTCAGAACTCAAGAGTTCAAGGCCAGCCTGTTCTGCATGGTGAATTCTAGGCCAGCTGGGGCTACTGAGAGATCCTGTCTTTAAAAGACACCCCCCCCAAAAAAAAAGAAAAGGGACAGAATGAATGAATGCATGCCTACTATTCAGCTCACCATCTCCATTTTATATAGCCCAGGAACCAAATCCAGAGAATGGAACCACCCACAGTGGGCTAGGTCTTCTGACTTCAATTAATGTAACCAAGACAATTCCCCACAGACATGCCCAAGGCGAACCTGATCAAGACAATCTGTCACTGAGACTCTCTTCCCAGGTGATTCTAGATTGCAGCAAGTTGATAATTACAACTAGCCATCACAAGAGCAATTGACAACACCAGACTCTGACCTCCACATGAAGGTGTACACTTGTGCACATGCACATAAACACATGTACAAACCCATAAAATAAAATAAAATGTCTTAAGAAAACAATGAACAGAACAGAATGCAAGAACAGAATGAAGGCTGGAAGACTGTAAAAGGCAATATTGATGCTGGCAAAAAGGAGCTGAGGAGATGCATAGCTACAAGTGGAGTAACCAGGGGCTGGAGATATGACTCAGCAGTGAAGAGCACTGGATGCTCTTGCAGAGGACCCAGGTTCGATTCCCAGAACCTACATGGCAGCTAACAACTGTCCATAGCTCCAGTTCCAGGGGATCCAACAGTCTCTTCTGTCCTCCGCAAGCGTTGTACGACATGGGTGCACTTACCTACATACAGGCAATTAATTACATGCTTACACATAAAATAAAAATAATAAAGTATTTTTTTTTAAATAATAAATTAAATAGAAAAAAGAGTAACCATTCTGCCATGACTTCACCATGGCCATGCTGCTGAATTCTAAGGAGATGACTAATAAATTCCTGCATGGCTATAAATTTAAAATAGTGACAGCACCAAATGCTAGTGAGAATGCAAAGAAACTAGGTCACTTACACATTGGATGGGCACTGCACAACATGGGTGCACTTAACCTACATACAGGCATAATACTCATAAAATAAAAATAAAGAAAAAAATCAAATATACAATCTTAGGATATGGCTCAGTGGTGATATGGGAGTATTGGGGTCTTTGAGGGCAATGGAGCCTTTCTCTGCTCCATTGTCCTTAGCTCAATAAGGTAGGGTCCTGGAAACTCAGTGTCCACCAGAGGCTTTTGGGTTCTTGTTGAGAATTTGAAGAATGAAATTCAATGACCATCAAGGGTAAGTTGTAGGAAGGAGTATTTTATTATCAGGAGCTTAGAAGAAAGAATGAAGACAGAGCTCCTATAGAGAAGGAGGGGTCCCTGGGAGTCGGGGTACCATTAAACCTCACTGCCGTGGAATTAAAAAGGCTTTGGTGGATGGAAGAGGGCAGGGGAAGATGAGCTGTTCAGTCCAGTTCCCATTCCAGTTGTCTGGGTCCCTCCAGGTTTTGGTCACATCCTCAGTGTGGTTTCCAGGAATGGGGTACTGCTTTAGGGAAAAGAAATAAGGGAAAAACAGACCCCATTTTTTTTTAGCATCCCCAGACTCTTTGGCCATGGCAGAACCCAGATGTGTTTTGGTTAGACATTTCTGGCATGTCTGGCCTCAAGCAAGGTCAAGTCTACTGGCAGGCCCAAGGACATTTCTGGCTTTTAGTCAAGAAACTAGTCACGGGCTGGCGAGATGGCTCAGCGGTTAAGAACGCTGGTTGTTCTTGCAGAAGACTCGGGTTTGAATCCCAGCACCCACATGACAGCTAACAACTGTCCGTAACTCCAGTTCCAGGGGATCCAACAGCTTCTTCTGACCTCTGAGGGCATTGTACGACATGGGTGCACTTACCTACATGCAGGCAATACACACATACACATAAAATAAAAATAATAAATCAAATATTTTTTAAAAAGGGGGAGGGCTGGAGAGATGGCTTAGCGATTAAGAGTTCTGACTGCTCTTGCAGAGGACCCAAGTTCAATTCCCAGCATCTACATGGTGGCTATGAACCGTCCTTAACTCCAGTTCCAGGGGAATCCAAAGCCCTCTTCTGACAGGTGCACTCGCATACATGCAGGCAATACACTCATACACATAAAAAAAATAAAAAAGAAAAAAAAAGAAACTGGTCACTTTTCTTTGGGATATTTTTACCCTAAACTGCCTAGCCAAGTTCTCTCTCCTATTCCCATTAGTGGTAGAATACAGGCTTACTATGCACAGGAGTCCCTGGGTTTAACTAAACTTCAGCACCAAAAATGAATAAATACATAAGTAGATCTAAATTTAAAAATTAAACATACAATTCAGCGATTGAACTCCTAATATTTATCCTAGGAAAAGACTCCTGTCCACACAAAACCTATACAGAATGTTCACAGCACCTATTCATAATAAGCTAAAACTAGAATCAACCAAACTCTTCCTCAGATGAATGGTTAGCCAGTCACACATTCTGTACCATTGTTTTCTATTACCACTTAACAAGAGGAAGAAATTACTTTTATTCACCGTTTTTTGGTTATTTGTTTGGGGACAGGGTCTCGTGTAGCCTTGGGCTGGCTTCAAACTTCCTATGCAACCGAGGATTGTCTAGAACTTCTGCTTCTCCTGCCTTTACCTCCCAAGTGCTAGGATAACAAGTGTACACGACTATGCCTTGTTTATGCAGTGCTGGGGATCAAACCTAGGACTTTGCAAATGCTAGACAAGTACTCTATGACCTGAACTATATCCTCAGCCACTACACTGGCTGTTTTAATTAATAATATTACTGGTGCCGGGAGTGGTGGTGCAGGCCTTCAATCCCAGCACTCAGGAGGCAGAGGCAAGCAGATCTCTGTGAGATTAAGGCCAGTCTGGTCTACATAGTAAGTTCCAGGCCAGCTGGGGTTACAGGGAGACCCTGTCTCAAAAAGACTAATAATAATAATAATACTAGTATGCATACAACATGGATAAACCTCTAGAGAGTTACACTGAATGAAAAAAAAGCCAAACTCATAAATTTCATATGAACCCATTTGTATAATATCTTCGAAATTGTAAAATTTTAGAAATGTAGACTGAATTAGTGGTTTAATGGAAAGCGGTGGGAGTGAAGTGTGTTTACAAAAGGGCCACAGCAGGGAGTGTTGGGGTGCATTTTGACTGCAGTGGATATAAGAGCCTAAACAAAGGATCAAATCATATAGACTTAAAAATATACCTAAGTGCACGCATAGGCTCATGCACACAGGTCCAAGTAATGCTGGGAAATCTTTTGGGGGATTGCAGGGGGTGGGTGGGCAGGGTCTTGTTGTGCAGCCCTGGCTGGTGGCTTGGGACTCCCTATGTAGACCAGGCTGGTGCCAAACACCCAAAGATATGCCTGCTTCTGACTTCCAAGTGCTGGGATTAAAGACATGCACCCCCTCACACACTCTTTCTTTTTTATGTACGTGGTGTGTGTGTGTGTGTGTGTGTGTGTGTGTGTGTGTGTGTATAATACAGAGGATGACATCAGGTGTTCTGCTCTGTCACCCTCCAGCTTATCTCCTTGACACAGGGTCTCTTGCTGAACCTAGGGCTAGCACATTCCGCAAGTCCCTCTTGTTTCCTCCTTCCACAGCTCTGGAAAGCACTGCACAGCCACACCCAGCGTTTTAAAACATATTTATTGGTAGCACTTGCCTTTAGCCCCGCACTCTGGAGTCAGAGGCAGGCGGGTCACTTTGAGATGGAAGCCAGTCTGGGATGATCTACATAGAGAATTCCAGGCCATCTGTGGCTACATAGTGAGACACTGCCTCAAACAGAACAAAACAAAAATTTATTGTGTATGTGTATGATGTGTGTACATATTTGTGTGTGAGGGTGCTCCTGTGCCACAGCATGTGTGTGGAGGTCAGAGGACAATCTCAGGTGTCAGTCCTGACTTTCCCACTTGTACTGTGGGCTGTTACAGTAACATTGGAAGCTAGTTAAGGGAAAGCTCTTAGTCAAGAAAATGGAATCTACATCCAGGTGGAGCCATGCCATTGTCTCCTCCCTTAAGAGTTAACCCAGTTGGGACAGTGAATCACCAGGCTAAAGGCACCACCCCTCAGGAAGGCTGGTTCACCTTAAGCCATGCTAAAGAGAGAGGAGGAACAATTAGCCCTTTAATCAGATAAGATACTTTTCCTTCCCAGAAAGGCCACCCTTAGTGCAGTCCTTAAGGAACCCCCCACAAAACTCTGTTAGGTCTGCTAGTCCTGATTCGGGAAAGTATAACTTTGCCTTTTTTTTCTTTTCTGTCTTTCTTTGCAATACTGGCCTGAGCCTGGGCATTCTCTCTCTAATACTTTATCTGCCTTGTGCCTAATCTCCACTGCTGGACATACTGGCTTAACTCAAAGGTAAGGCTTTGTCCTAGTTACTTTCTATTGCTGTAATCAAAACACTCCCCACTAGGGAGAAAAGGGTTTATTTTATCTTACATTTCCCAGGTCATCACCTAGTCAGGAGAGGAATCTGGAGGCAGGAACTGAAGCAGAGGCCATGGACGAATGCTGCTTACTGGCTTGCTCCTCTGGCCTGTACCACCTGCCTGGGGTGGTACCACCCCCAGTGGGCTGAGCCCTCCCACATCACTTAACAATCAAGAAAATATTTCACAGACATGCCCACAAGGCCAATCCAATAGAAGAAATGCCCCAATTGAAGTTCCCTCTTTCCAGGTGTGTCAAGTTGACAACTGCAGCTGTCCAGTGCAGGTTTGCTCCCTTCTTCCTCTCCATCTTCCTTCTGACAGTTGTCAAGATTTCCAGTTTGCCTGCTCTGTGGCTTTTCTCTTAAACTTGAAAAAAATTGTCCTTGAACTTCCTTCTGGGTTCATTCTGAAAATCTTTTTATTAACAAGACTAAGAACTCCAAGGGAGGACCCCAATTTTCCCAGTAACAAGTGGCACCCAAGTGATGCAGAGAAAGAGCATTCCCTAGAGCATTCTTAGTCTCATTCATAAAAGAATTTAAGAATGGACCCAAATGGAAGCTTTAAGGCAATTTTATTAGGATTTTAAAGAAAAATCCTCAGGGCAGGTGAGCTGGTAATCTTGGCAGCTGCCTTGAGGAGGAAAATAGAGGGGAGAAGGGAAAAAGTGAGGCCATGCAGGTTTAGAACCTGCCTGTGTGATGGCAACTCATCAATAATAAGATGGTTGCTAAAAACTTTGGACCCTGGGAGGGCCAGGATAAGACAGGAAGAAGTAAGAAAAGAATGAGGAAGGTAAATAGGATCTCCCTTCACCCTCTTCTGTTTTTTTTTTACCTGACTTTTGAAATCTTTGTTTGCCAAACTGCTACATTCTTGTGATCATTTGTCTAGTGATCTTTTGTAACCATGAGTAACCACGTGCTTAATTACCACGTATACAGTACTTGCTTGCTTAAACTCTTGCATATACACATATGCAAGACTAAAATTTCCCTAAAAACTGGAACTGGGGAGTTGGTGCTATTACAGAGTGGTCCAAGTGTCAGCGTGCTGGTGTGAATAAACTCTCTCTCTTTCACCTGGACCAGTGGTTGGTTTCTTGATTTCCAGAAGTTCCCAAAACACATGGAGGTCAGACACGTGGCTGGCTGGCAGCCCCCTGGCTGGCAGAAGGAAACTTTAGAGAAAAAGTAAAGAAATACAAGATGCTAGGAGAGGCCAAAGTGCTTAAAAAAAAAGTATATTTAGAAAAGGGATGTGAAGAAAAGGGGAGAGATTACAGTTTTCTGAAGAAAAGTAGGCAGACTTACAGAGAGCTACATGTCTGTGGCCAGTCCAGAAGCACTTCGCTACAGGCAGGATTCTAGGGAGGAAAAGTTCACTATTTCGTTAACACACTAGGTATTCTGCCCATCTATTTAGCATAATATAAAGTGACCCCACCTTCCTAAGGGTGGTCCTATGACCAGATGATTGACCAATGAAACTGGAAAGGTGGATCTTCTAACAGATGACTAGAAATTTCAGTCTTGACTAGTTAATCTTTTTTTGTAAATTTTATTATTTTAATATTGTGTACATGACTGTATTGCCTGCATGTGTGTAAGTGCATCTGTGTTGTACAATGCCTGTGGAGGTCAGGAGAGGGCGTTGGATCCCCTGGAACTGGAGTTATGGACTGTTGTTAGCTGCTATGTGGGTGCTGGTTATCGAACCCAGATCCTCTGCAAGAGCAGTCAGTGCTCTTAATTGCTGAGCCATCTCTCCAGTCCCTTGACCAATTAATCTTATGGGGCTTTTTGCTCCTCTATCACAAGTGGGGCTCCCCAGAATTTCTGATAAAAGCTAGCTATTGCTTGAGCTTTTGGGGGAATTCTCCTGTTTATATTCCCAACTCACTGGGATTACAGAAAAGCATCACCACATATGGTTTTTACATGAGTTCCAGCAGGGATCTAGACTTGCTCCAGGAGCATTTTACCCACTAAGTCCTGGCCCATGTGCAGCTTTTTTTTTTTTTTTTGGTTTTTTTGAGAAAGGGTCTCCCTGTAGCCCCCGCTGGAATGGAGCTCACTATGTAGACCAGGCTGGCCTTGAACTCACAGAAATCCACCTGCCTCTGCCTCCCCAGTGCTGGGATTAAAGGCATGAACCACCACACTTGGCAGCCCCAACCCTCTTCTTTAAAAATAAAATTCTTGGGGCTGGAGAGATGGTGTTAGGCCAAACTGGGCCCCAAGATGGAGCCGGTATTGACCAGCAACATGGCAATTACAACCTGGTGGGCAGCATTCTGAGAAACAGAAACTAAACCATGCTAGTTTCTCAGTAACCACCTGACCTTTTGTTTTAACAATGCACCCTGATCATAACAGCAATTTTCCCTCACAGCCAACTGAAAAACACCTAACTGAAATCCTACCCATTAAGGCACCTACTACTGACTCACCTTCCTGCTAGTCTCACCTCCCCTTACCCACAAAAGAAAAATCCTATAAAATCCAGCCTGCTGTGACAAGAAGACACTGCTCCCTTTCTCCCTTTCTCCTATAGGAGCAGTCCAGCAGCTCATACATCCCAATAAATTTCTTCTTCTCTCACCTCAGAGTGGTCTCTAGTGGTCCTGGTCTTTCCCCAAACCTAACACTTGGTATGTACTTCACTCTTTTTTGTTTGTTTATTTGTTTGTTTGTTTTTGTCTTTTTAGGACAGGGTCTCCCTGTAGCCCCAGCTGACCTGGGACGCACTATGTAGACCAGGCTGGCCTTGAACTCACAGAGATTCACCTGCCTCTGCCTCCCAAGTACTAGGATCAAAGGCATGCACCACCACGCCTGACTTGGGATGCACTTCACTCTTACATTCAATTATTCATCTCTGTGGACACCATGGAATCTGGCATGCAATAACCCTTCCATACCTTTCATCAGCCTGAGCCAGGTTCTTGTGTGCTGCTGGAACTTTGTGCTTTTGAAATGGGGAGAAAGAGTGTCCCCTAAAGGGTTCTTGGTCTCATTCATAAAAGAATTTAGGAATGGACCCAAACGGAAGCTTTAGGACAATTTTATTAGAATTTTAAAGAAAAATCCTCAGGGCAGGTGAGCTGGTAATCTTGGCAGCTTCCCTGAGGAGGAGAATGGAGGGAGAAGGAAAGAAAGCTATGAAGTCATGAAGATTTAGAGCCTGCGTGGAGGTCAGACACGTGGCTGACTGGCAGACACGTGGCTGGGAGAGGAAGCTTTAGAGAAAAAGTGTAGAAATAGAAGATGCTAAGGGCGCCCCAAGCCTTAAAGAAAGCGTGTTTAGAAAAAGGATATGAAGAAGAAAAGGAGACATTACACGTTTCTGAAGAATTCAGAAAGTCAGGCAGACTTACAGACATTTACCTGTCTGTGGCTGGGTCTAGAAGCACTGTACTGGGAGGCAGGACTCCAGGTAGGAAAACTTCACTATCTCATTAACACACTGGGTATTCCGCCCACCTATTTAGCATAACTTAAGGTGAACCTGCCTTCCTAGTGATAGAGTATCAATAAGCCCCATAAATTAACTGGTCCAGACTATAAAAATGTGTAGTCTATCTGTTAGAGGATCTATTTTTCCAGTCTCACTGGTCAATTACCTGGTGACAGAACCACTCCCAGGAAGGCACGTTATGCTAAATAGATGGGCAGGATACCTGGTGTGTTAATTAAGTAGCGAATATTTCTGCCTGGCCAGCAGAACTTCCAGATCAGCCACAGCCATGTAGGTCTTCGTAAGTCTGTCCGCTTTCCCGAACTCTTCAGGAAAACGTAATTTCTCCTTTTCTTCTTCACTTTTTCCCTAAAGCTTCCTTCTCCCAGCCATGTGGCTGAAAGTCAGCCACGTGTCTGACCTCTATTCAGGCTCTAACTTGCATGGCTTTCATGGCTTTCTTTCCTTCTTCCCACTATTCACCTCCTCAGGCAGCTGCCAAGATTACCAGCTCGCCTGCTCTGAGGATTTTTCTTTAAGATTCTAATAAAATTGTAAAAGCTTCTGAAAAAACCTAGGCGCCATGAGGCCACCTGATAGGAATGCCTGACAAGAAGTCAAGCATTGAGAAACTAGCTTATCAGAAAAACAGGACGTAGTGGTCAAGCCATCTGCATCTGGCAATCCCCAGGGCTCGATACCAGGAAATCAGGAGAAAAACCTCTGTGTCCCTGAGGTCACCTCCCATTTAGCAATCCCACTTCCCCTTAGCCCCGACCCTTACCCCATATTTCTGTGTGCTTTTGAAATTACTCTGTGTGTTTTTGAATTAACCAATAACCGCACTTCTGCTTCTGTACCCTGCTTCTGCTCTATAAAAGTGCCAAACCCCAGCCTGTAGGCGCGCAAGTCCTCTGAGGAGACTTTGTGCCCACAGGTACCTGTGTACTAAATAAACCTCTTGCTGTTGCAACTCGAAGGCTGACTTGTCCTCAGTGGTCTCACTCTTACATTTGGAGGTCCCATTGATCCAGGAGAGAAGATCTTAGCTTTAACCTGCAAAATAACATCAGAATCAAAAGTCCCATCCCGAGGCCAACCGACATTAAACATGGGCCACTCGGAGGAACAAAAGGTTATCCATCGATTCTTCTTGATTTCTATTAATTGGTTGTGGGCTCGGCTCTTGACTTCTTTCCAGTGATCTAAGGTCAGACTCAGAGGGGTAGTTAGTTGTCCCATTTTAGGACTTTCTAGC